CTACTCGATAACGGCAGTACGGCTAACTTTATAACGCAGTCGCTTTGCAGTAAGCTAAAATTACCTACACGTTCCGTAAGTTCTGAAATTAATGGCATTAATAATCAATCGTTAACTAGTACCCAAGCATGCAACCTAACAATCCAGTCCCAGTGTTGTAGGTATAGAACGAATATAGATTGTTATATATTACCGGAGATAACTAAAATACTTCCTTCTACTTTTATAGACGTCAGTCAACTTTCGATGCCCGCAGATCTACATCTAGCTGACCCTACGTTTAACATACCGTCAGTAGTCGATATTCTCGTCGGGGCTGAAGTTTTCTGGGATGTAATATACAATAAATCAATTAACCTAGGGAAACACAAGCCTAAGTTAGTCAAATCAAAATTAGGTTGGATTGTTACAGGCCAATTACCGATACAGTCAACATCAAATTTTACGCATTCTTGTAACTTGTCTATAAGAGATCTGGACAACAATTTGAAAAGGGTTAGCCATCTTCCAAATCTACTTGCCATTACAACGCATCACAACTATTAAATCTAGCTGGATTGAATCGCGAGTCAGGTTTTCGATCTTTAACAAATAAATTTTCTAACTTCAATCGTCTTATAAGAGTAATGTCATATGTGCAACGTTTTGTATATAATCTTAAAAACAAAAATAACAAACAAACCGATTTACCTACTAAGGATGAATTAGATCAAGCCTTAAAAAGCGTAATGCAGAACGCTCAAATTGATATGTTTCCCGACGAATACGTTTTGTTAAAAAAGGGTAAATCGTCACCTCGTAAGAATAGACTTTCGTCTTTGAGTGACGGTATCATACGTGTAGGCGGAAGGCTTGAAAACTCATCTTACGAATATAATATAAAACATCCTATTTTGCTGTGTAGTAAACATCACGTTACTAAAATATTATTTCAGAAATATCACATTGATTTATTGCACGCAGGACCTCAACTGCTCTTAGCAAATATACGTCAATTATATTGGCCCTTAGGGGGCATAAATCTTTCTCGAATAATCGTAAGAAATTGCATAAGATGTTTCAGGTATAAAAATACAACTATACAGCCTGTCATGGGACAATTACCAATTTCTCGTACCAACTTAGAATTTCCATTTTTACATTGCAGTGTCGACTATGCCGGACCTATACTGATAGCTGACCGGAAAGGACGAGGGTGTAAGCTTATAAAATCGTATGTGTGTATTTTTGTTTGCCTTGCAGTCAAGGCTGTGCATATTGAGCTTGATACAGATCTGTCTAAGGAAGGCTACATGTCAGCCTTGAACCGTTTCGTGGCTCGTCGGGGCAAACCTCAGTCCATCCTGTCAGACAATGCAACGAACTTTGTCGGAGTTTCCAACGAGTTGGAACAATTTTTTCAGACTTCAAACCTCCCTTCGGAGGTCGCTCAGCAGGGTATTAAATTTTCCTTTGCCCCTCCATATTCTCCACATTTCAACGGCATTGCTGAAGCAGCGGTTCGTTCGACAAAATATCATCTTAGGCGCTTGATGCAAATGACTCACTTTACATATGAGGAACTTACCACTTGTCTAACTCAAATTGAAGCCGTTTTGAATTCCCGTCCACTCACCCCTCTCTCATCTGATCCCACTGACCTATCTGCTCTTACTCCTTCCCATTTCTTAATCGGACGATCTCTTTTATCTGTACCTTATCCACAGGTGACAAACATGAAGGTCGAGCAATTGCAACGTTACGAAAGAATCAATTATATGAAGCAACACTTTTGGAAGCGATTTTCTAAAGAATACGTCTCTTTACTTCAAACTAAGACTAAATGGTTCCATTCAACAGGAAATCTATCTGTGGGGACTCTTGTACTATTGAAGGAAGCAGGTCAACCTCCCCTACTGTGGCCATTGGGACGAGTCACCAAAATTTACCCTGGCGTCGATGGCGGTTCAAGAGTGGCAGAACTGAAGATGAAAGGGAGAACTGTTCTGCGAAGCTACAAAAACATCTGTCCGCTTCCCTTCGACTAGAATCTTCTTACCACTCTTACATCATGACTCTTGCCTTACAACCACTTTCGTCTGCTTATCCACAGCCATGGGCCCATCACTCTGCTTCTTTGAACAAAGATGTTCAACCCGGGGAGGATGTTCGCGCCTGAGGTGCGGGCAACACCACTACCGGTGCGAACCGACGTGCGGTGGCACGAAACGTCACTTGGACTTCCGCTTTCGACCGCCGATGCATACGCGCAACGATCAATTTGTCTATTTGCAACTCTGTATTTACCGCTTATTAAACCATTATAACCAAATACTTGTGTTTGGCCTAAACATATGCTTCAGGAAATTAATACCTCATCATCCCGCATATTTCACCCGCGAATGTTTGTGCTAGGAGCTAATTAATTACCCCCACCCCGGGTGTTCACTCTACCCCCAAGCCTGCCGGACTGCCAGCGCCCTCTCTAATTTATTATCTTTTATTCTTTTTGTTTCTAACAATTGTTTTATAGCAGTATATAAATTATTTTTACTAGTAACTAGTTGTCGCCTGCGACTACGTCCGCGCGGGATTAAAAAATAATTGTAGGTGATTCTCAGAGCTACTAAATGTGCATAAAATCTCATAAAAATCGGACAAGCCTTAAAAGAGTATAAGTAACATTGTGACAAGAGAATTTTATATCTAAGATTTATACTAACTGTTGCCGCAACTCCGTCCGCGCAGCATAAAAAAAACTCAATAAGTAGCCTATATGTACTTGACCACGTTCTACATCTATGCCAAATTTCAATGATTTCCATGCAATTTCAGACATATCTTCTTACAATAATCCATACATCTAAACATTCGCAATTTATAATAATAGTAAGATTGGGGAATTTAAATAAACCCGCAATCTGTCAGGGAATTACTGCTATTAGAGTTTGCTTATGATTTGTTTTACAATATTCTTTATTAATTTGTCTTTTTTCATACATTGTGTTATAAAATTTCAAATGACGTCACAATAGGCCAATGTCTCAAATACTAAACATATATTGGTAGCCGGCCAACAACAAGTGCACTAACCTTTGTATAATGCATACATCATTGCCGTCTTACGCAACATATAAATCAATTAATCTAGTCAACTTTGATAGCAGTTTGATAATTAATTTAATAATTATAATATTTAATTGTATGAAGGCAATCGTATGCCTGGCATTTTTTGGATGGATGGATTTTTATTACAACTTATAATAACAATTCAACGGATCTTAATGAAATTTGGCATAAACGTAGAAAATCGCCTGGAAATACATAAGGTATTAATTAAGTTTTTTTTTTAATTCCGTGCGGACGTAGTCACGGTCGACAACTATTATGTGGTTCATCATCATCATAATCAGCCTAAATTTTGTCCACTGCTGGATGTAGGCCTCCCCCATCGATTGCCACAATGCCCGGTCCTGTGCCGCCCGCATCCAGTGCACTCACGCAACCTTGACCAGGTCATGGGTTATGTGGTTACTAGTGTTTTATTAATATGTTAATATATATATATATATATATATATCGGACTAACTGTCGCCCGCGACTCTGTCCTTAGAATCAAAGAAAACTTAATTTGTAGCCTATGCGGTTTTCATCTATGCCAAATTCCAATCCATGCAGCTCTTCTGCAGATACCTTCTAACAAACAGCCATCCAACCAAACATTCGCATTTATTATATTAGTAAGAAATAAGATTTTGACATTTGCGAGTTAAAGTAAAAATTATTCTGACAGCAAAAGTAGTTTATTGCGAACGTCTAAACCGACAACAAAAACTATTTATTCCAAACTCAGACTGGCCGTTTACAAACTTTATATCACACCAGACCGCAACCTAAGTGTCCGCGGAAAAAAGGAATTGCAACAATAAATCCGACGCTTTCAATGTGGCAACACTGGTATAAAAATATTGTTTGTAAGTTTAAAAATAGCTGCCGGAACAAACGGAATGAATCCGGACCAATTAAATCGGGAGTTAGGAAAGCGTCCGGCTTCAACTGGGTCAGACCGGTTTATTGTTCGAAATTTATTTGACAAGCCCGGACGTTTGGAATCTAACAATATACCCTTAAAGCATACTTCCTTATAATGTTAACTTTAGTATTATTTGAATGTAAAATTACTTTTAAATGCTACCATGTAGTTCCTTTTCCAATCTTTCTCTTGATTTGAAATTAATGTCTCTAAACATATCGTCGTCTCTCTCATTATCTTGGACAAAATAGAGTTAACAATATGTTTTATACAATGATTGTGGTTTGAGTAACCATCGATAAGTAAGTTTTAAGCTAAATATTTGTCTCTCATCAGTATCAGCTCACTATACGTCCCCACCGAGGGGCTCGGAGCCTACCCTAAGTTAAGGGTGATTAGGCCATAGTCAACCACGCTGGCCAAGTGCGGGTTGGTTGACTTCACACATATCTTTGAATTTCTTCTCAGATATGTGCGGGTTGCATCACGATGTTTTCCTTCACCGAAAGAACGTCGGATAAATGTACATATGTAAATCGGAAATCGAAAAACACATTGGTACATGGCGGGATTCGAACCCAGGACCTGCAGATTGCAAGTTCAGTGCTTGACACCTGAGCCACCGACGCTCTCTTTTGTCTCTATCACAATATTACTAGCGGTCGCTCGCGACTTCGTCCGAGACGGAATTGAAGAAAATATAGTAGCCTATGTGTTCTTCGAGACTGTTTTCTATATGTATGCCAAATTTCATCGAGATCCGATCAGCCGTTCTGAAGATACATTCAAATAAACATCCATCCATCCAAACATTCGCAATTATAATATTAGTAAGATATTCTCATAAACTTACAATGAAATAAACAACATATATCAGAGTCATATTTTTCAACGTTCAATCTTAAACCAAAACAAGCAATTTCCTATCAAATCGAAATCTCGCAACATAACATGAAAGGGTTGAGCCGTCATCTGCTATTCGGGAAATTGCTTATTTGTCGAAATTACCGTCAAATTTCACTGCCATATACTTGAATTATATTATTGTCTCTCTTTTTACAAAGGAAATGTAAGAGATGACATGTTTTCTAAGTGGTACAATTAAGGCAAGTGACGTTAGCACGTATAGAAAAAGAGTGAGACAGCAAATAATTTGTAGTGTTCTCTCTGTCGCACTGTGCTCTTAATATAGCCATGTTACAAACGATCGTCTTAGTTTAATCTTGTTAATATTATAAATGCGAATGTTTAGATGGTTGTATGTTTGTTAGAAGATATCTCTAAAATAGTTAAACGGATCTCGATGAAATTTGGAATAGATATACAGTAAATTCTAAAAGAACGCGTAGACTTATTAGGTTTTTTATTCCTCAC